TCAGGCGCCCCCGTGCCCCCCCAGTGTCTCCTGTGCCCCCCTGACCCCCCCGTACCCCCCCAGTGTTTCAGGTGCCCCCCTGACCCCCCCGTGCCCCCCCAGTGTTTCAGGTGCGCCGCTGACCTGCAGCCGGTGCTGGAGCTGGACCTGCGAGGCTGCCGTGTCACCTACAAGGACAAGCGAGGCAAGAAGATGCCGCACGCCCTGAAGGTGACAGGGACGGCCGGAGAGGCGCTGGTCATCGGCTTCCAGAGCCGGCAGCAGGCTGAGGACTGGAGGAAGGTTTGGAGGTGTTGCAGCCGGGCAGGAGCGGGGTGGGCAGGGGGAAATGGGGGCACAGCCCCACTCCGGTGCTCCCGGGAGGGGGCTGCGGATGATCCTGTCTGTCCCCAGTTCCCTTCTCGGGGTCGTGTGGAGCTGTTTTAGACGGGCAGCTGGAGCCCGGGGAGCAACGCTGCCCGTTTCCCTCGGCAGGTGATCGAGGAGGTCAGCAGCGATGGCCCGAGCGGGCTGGCAGCCCTCGGTGTCCCAGCGTCACCTTCCTCGAGGCTCAGCAGGGTGAGTTTGTCCCCCGGGAAAGCCAGGAACAGGTCAGGAATACCCCCGATCCCATATCCCGGAGTCCTTCTGTTGCCTTGCGGAGGGTTCAGGGTGCGGGGGCTGAAAACCCCCTGGGGCTCTCCCCATCCCCACCCTCTGCCTGCCGCATCCCAGGTCGGCAAGGAGGAAGAGGATGAGGAGGAGGAGGATCGCTCCCGGCAGAGCCCTGCCCGCAGCCCGCGGACCGGGGAGGATTCCAGAGGAGGTGGGGGGGAGAGGGGCCTGGATGAGGGGGTGAGAGGGGTCAGGGTCAGAGGGTGAGAGGGGTCAGGGTGAGTGGGTGAGAGGGGTCAGGGTCAAGGGGGGAGAGAGGCTGGGGTCAGGGGAGGAGAGGGGCTGGGGTCAGGGGAGGAGAGGGGCTGGGGTCAGGGGGTGAGAGGGGTCAGGGTGAGGGGGTGTGAGGTGTCCCCGGGCTCAGGGGGTCTGAGGTATCCCCGGGCTCAGGGGGTCTGAGGTATCCCCGGGCTCAGGGGGTGTGAGGTGTCCCCGGGCTCAGGGGGTGTGAGGTGTCCCCGGGCTCAGGGGGTTTGAAGGGCCGGGCTCAGGGGGTGCTGCCCCCCGTGCCCACTGACGGGGCTGCCCGCAGGGTTCCTGGCTGTGAGGCTCCGCGGGCGCTGGCAGCGCCTGTGGTGTGCGGTCCGGCACGGAGCCCTGCGCATGTTCCCGGAGCCCGGCACTGCCCAGCACCCCGTCTGTGCCCTGCGCCTGGACGGCTGCGAGGTGTCCCCGGGGGTGGCCGCCGGCTCCCCCCAAAACCTCCGGATCCGCATCGCCCAGCGCGGCCGGGAGCTTGCCCTGCTGCAGGTGAGTGTACCCTCGTGTCCCTCCCGGGGCACCCCCTGGGCCTGGAGCCTGTCCTGGGGTCACCCTCTGAGCCCAGACCCTGATCCAGGGCACCCCCTGAGCCTGAACCCTGTCCTGGGAGCCCCCCCTGAGCCCAGACCCTGCCCTGGGAGCTCCTCCTGAGCCCAGACCCTGTCCTGGGAGCCCCCCCTGAGCCCAGACCCTGCCCTGGGAGCTCCTCCTGAGCCCAGACCCTGCCCTGGGAGCTCCTCCTGAGCCCAGACCCTGCCCTGGGAGCTCACCCTGAGCCCAGACCGTGCCCTGGGAGCCCCCCCTGAGTCCTGACCCTGCCCCACGCCAGGCCCGTTCGGATGAGGAGAGAGAAGCCTGGCTGAAGACCCTGCAGGCCAGGGGAGGAGGAATGGAGCCAAAGAAGGGTGATGGCCCCCCCCCGAGACCCCCGAGGCCGAGCAGCCGCCCTGCTGCCGGGTAAGGCCTCTGCCCCCCCCCCCCCCCCCCCCCCCCCCC